CAACAATAAGAGTGATTACTTTTCATTTCTGTTCTTCTGTGTAATGGAGCTATTAGATTTTGGCAGATCCCTTAATATGATGATCATCTTTGAGTGATTTTGACTGGAAATATTTGCATGAATGGTGGTAATTGCCACCATTGTGTGTGAAGAATGAGGCTATCGGCTCATGTTCCAGAATCTTAACCCTGAAGTGCCATTGACAGTGCCTCGTGTGGCTGGGCAGGCATCGAGGGAGCCTTGGAGGGGTAGGTGGGCACACTGGCTTTTGGCAAGCCTGACTAACTGGTGGGGCCAGGAGGTGGCTTTTTGTTGGAGACCTGTTTCTCCCCATACTGAGGACAGCTACTCTCTGTCAGCCAGTCAGGTAGCTCCAGAATCGGCCTACCTGTGGGTGAGGACGTCTCTTAGTTAGCTAGTCTCCACCTTCACCATTATCCATTAGCTGCCTGCACTGTAGGGCAGGCCTCAGAACCTGCTGTTTGTAGGACTGGGGTCTTGGCTCGGTGGGGAGGCCGCCTCCCTCCAGGGCTGGTTTCTAGGCCGCTGCCAGCCTCTTTCCCACCGTCCCCGTCAGGTGTGTTTTTCTTGACACAGTGGCAGACTTTTGACCTTGGCTTTTAGGGGATCATTTCACATGTTCATTTAGGGGATCATTTCACATGTTCCCATTGCATTAGGAGCCACCTCCTGTCCTTCGTCTTTGGGTTCTGACACCGGCCTGGATGCAGACAGAGGCCTGCTTTGTCATGGCCTCCTGGGGGCCCTTGTGCTAGCCTGGGCATCTGCTGAGGCCTGGTTTTTATGAGGAGGCCCCAGGGGACCTCTTGGTTCTGTCATGAGGAATCCCAGGGTTTCTGAGGTGGAACCTGGTCAAATGCGCTGAACAGAACAGTACCCAACCCATAGAGGACCCAAGGCACTCGTACTGTGAGTTCTCTTCTCGCACCATAACCAACACTAGCCTGCTATTTCCATACGGCAGTTCTATGGAAATACCAGGCTGCTTGACAGAGGAAGGTGTCTCCCAAGGCAATCTGAAAGGGTCTGGAAGGACAGGAATCCAGTCTTCCCTCCTTGACTGGGAAAGTTTGTGCTTTGGACCCTTCCCTCCCACCTCTCCCCCTTTTCCTCCAGCACTTTCCTCTCTTTTCCTTCCTCTTCTTCCCCTCCGTCCTCCACCTCACCCCACTACCCCTACTCTCTTCTTCTCTGCCCTTCTTTCATCTCCCCCTTCCTCCATCCTTCTGCCCTAGCTACAGCACACGCCCCTGCTGTCATTGGCTTCTGATTCAGTTCAGACAGCTATCCCTGAGCCTTTCTGGAGCCCTTCCCCACCAGGGGCAGACACCGCGATCATTACACTCATTTATCTATTCAACAGGATCTAGCAAGTGCTCTGTGTCAGGCAAGGCACTAGCTCCTGGGAATACAATGACAAATTAAGAAATTGAAGGGATAACCTCTCTGTTGAGGGGGGAGCGAGATGACTTTGCTGCTACAAACACACATTCCTGAGTCTAGTCTCTAACCTGGTTCTTTGGTTCCGGGCCACACCCAGGAATCTGCATTTTCTAAGGGGCCATTCAAGCGATGCTGGTGCAGGTGGTGCTGGTGCAGATGGGCCCAGGTGGGCCCTGGGTCAATCTCAAAGAAACATGCTTTCACCATGAGGCAGCGTCCAAAGCTACCCTTTGAGAGTGTTTGTTGACTGTGCCCTGCGATTTTAACTGCCCTGCTTGCCTTTAAGAGGTTAGGAAGTATAGAGTCTTGGAGGAGGATCTTAGTTTCACATGGGTGTTAACATCAGACAATTCCAGATACCAGGCACAAGCTTTTATGGGGGATTGTTGTGACTTACCAGAATGTCTTGATGAGCTCAGCAATTACTCTCTAGAAAACTGTGTCTGTGGCATTTCTCCATCACAAGGGTGGACCCTGGCTTTTAGCTCTCCCAGAATGAATCTTCCCTGAAGTTTGCCTCTCCTGGCTGTGGGCTACCACTCCCACCCCACTCCTGGGTCATAAGTAGGAGGGGACACATGTGTCATCATCACAGTTTGGTGGCAAGAACAGAAGCCTATCTAACAGGGTTTAAGTCAAGGAGGACAGACCACAAAGACAGGGGCCTCTCACATGCCCCTGGGCAGAGAGTGGAGCCACACATCTCAGCAGATGGGCAGCTGAAGTCTCCAGGCAGCCCCCACCCCCTGGCCTCACACTTCCACTGTGCACCTGCCTTGCTCCCTATGTGCCATCGTCCACACGCACCAGAGCTGTCTCCTATGGTGGCCTGTCCCTGCATTTGGATGAGACCACCTAGTTCTAGCACCCAGCACCGCCTCAATTCCAAGTTTCAGCAAAAACATAATTTGATTGGCTGTTTAGGTTTGGTTGATTGATGTGGGAGATTAGGCTCACACAGTGCTTTTCTAGGCTGCAGATCTGCTGCTTCTCTTTGAGGGGTCAAGGGCTGGAGGAAATGATTGACAGTGAGTGGTTGCTGTCCCTGGTGTAGCTGGGGTGGCACAGCCGCACCAGTAGAGGGCAGTGTCCCATGTACACAGGTATGATTGCTAGGAGGTTTCTGGAAAAGCTTGGATGAGCCTCAGTAGAGGGCAAAGGAGCATTATTTGCTGAGCTTGTGCCCTGTGTGCTGGGCTCATCTCACATCCTTTCACAGCAGCACGCTGTACAGAAGTAACTGGGACCCAGGGTGCTCCATTAACCTAACCCAGTACTGTTTTCAGTGGCAGTGCCAGCATCCACACTGGGTTCTTTCAACTCTGAACACTGCTATTTCCAGCGTGCCCCGCTGCTGCCCTGGCTCGTGGGTAGTGGGAGGAATTCCATGGAGTCAGAAATCTGGACACTGAGGTCAAAGCCAAGCTCAGAAGGAGCAGATGAGGATCTGAGACTGAGGTCTATAGTTCGGTTCCAGAGAATGCCACCGAGTACCTTCCGAGTGGCCCAGGGGAGTTTCACCGGGCCTCCTTGTGAGATGTCTCTTTTGCCCACGGCAGAATCTTAATGGCACGTCTGGGGTTTGGCAGTTTGGGGTTGCCAGCTCCTCCATGGAGCCTTGGCTGGAGGGTGCCACATATCAGTAGGGCTTTGAAGCTGATTGGTCCCTGAGCCCTACTCTGTGACTCAGGGCCAGGCCACTAAATCCCCACGGGGCTTGGCTGTTAAGTGGAGATGGTCCCTCCTTCGCAGGGCTGTGGCGGTTTTTAAATGAGTCAGTGTGTGAAAAAGTACTTTGCACTGTGCTGGAGACATAGTAATTACTCAATAAATAGCTGCTATAATAATAATAATATAGTAATAATGATGATGACTCTTAGTTGCTTGAATGCAGGAAGTATATTGTGTGTTTTTCTACCCCCTACAGCACCAGTAAAATGCCTTTGATATGGTAGATGCTGAGAAAATATTTGCTGAATGGATTTATTATACAAGGGTACGTAGAATGTCTGGAAGCAGAGATGAAAAGACATAAAGAATTTGTTGATATTGCACTACAATACAGGATGTAATATAATATAATACAATGCAATATGTAAAATGTAACAGTGGGTTGTCCGTTATTAGCAATGCAGGGTTCCATGCTTTATGCAAAATTGCCATGAATGTGGTAGATTAATGCTGCGATTCCATCAATTTCTGCGCATGCATCCATGATGTGTTGCCTCAGATGGTTTTTGTCTCTGATTTCCATTGAATTCAACTTGTTCCTTTAGCCTACTCCAGAAGAAATAATCTAGAAGATTCACATATATAAAAATAAAATATTAATCTTTGTTTCCAGACTTTCTGGCCAATGGCCACCCTATCAGTACCTTTCATCTCTCCTTCTCAGTGCCCCTTCTCTGTGGGCTGAGACAGTCTCTGTGGTTTATAATTGGCCCCTTTGGGCACCAGGGTCTCCTCGGAGTCTTCTCCCCTCTGTGAGGAGCAGGATCCTGATCCACTCTCTCCCATCAGAATGTGGAGTCTAGACCTCTTCCTGTTGACCTTCCTTTCTCCAGTTTCCCTTCAAGTCCCCAACTGGTAAAGCCCTTCTTCCTGGGACAGGAGATAGACACATCTGTTCTTCTCCTCTGAGCTTCTCTGAGACTGCCCATGCGCCCATCCTGTCACACAGCTGTCCCCAGACATGCAGTGAGAACCAGTCTCCATGTTTGCAGACTTCACGTGACATGTGAGACCTGTTCTTGTTCAAGCGGCAAAGGTGCCGGGTTATCCCTAGGTGCTCTGGGTCCCATAGTTTGACTGAAGCTAAAACATAGCTTTATGGAGAATGGGGGTATGGGCACTGAGGCCTTCAGGAAGTTATCCCATTGGCCAGAGTGGAACCAAGCCCCAAGTTATTCCATTGGCCAGAGTGGAACCACCCCCACAGGATGGTGCCTGTGATGGGCTTCTGGTGCTGATGACTTTAGCATCTTTTATAAAAATTGAGATATAGTTGACATATAACGCTGTGTAAGTTTAAGGTGCACAACATGTTGATTTGGTTCATGTATATGTTGCGATGTGATTACCACCATTGCATTAGCTAACACCTCCATTACATCACATAATCATCATTTCCTTTTGTGGTGAGAGCATTTAAGATCTAGTCTCTTAGCAACTCTGGAGTTTATAATATGGTATTGTTGACTATAATCACTATGCTATACATCAGATATCCAGAATTTACTCATCTTCCGACTGCAAGTTTAGACCCTTTGACTGACATCTCATTTCCCCCACTTCCCCATCTGTGGTAACCACAATTCCCCCTGGTTTTTTTGTTTGTTGTTGTTGTTGTTTTTTTTCAGATTTCACATATGAGAACATTTGTCATTCACTGTCTGACTTAGCTCACTTGGTATAATGCCCTCAAGCCCCATCCATATTGATGCAAATAGTGGGATTTCCTTTTTTCTAGTAGCTGAATAAAATTCCAGTGTGTGTGTATGTGATGACTTTGACTTTAGCATCTCTCTCTCCCACAGGACACCAGCAATGATTGGCTGTTCCTTCGTAGTCAACAGGAAGTTCTTTGGTGAAATCGGTCTCCTGGACCCTGGGATGGATGTGTATGGAGGAGAAAACATCGAACTTGGAATCAAGGTTTGTGACATGGCGACCTTTGCTCTTGTTCACATTTGTGAGCAGAGCTGCCTGGTCATCTTAATGTATATTTAAAGCTTCCTTAGCTGGTGAATGACAGATTCCTTGATCCCACCCCTGTCCCTGAGGATGTTCCAGCAAGATTGTCACCCCTCTTTCGACAGGAAATCCTGGGCTTTCCCTTTCAAAGAGTTGAACAATTTATTCTATGCCTCAGTGACTCACTCTGGACATTAGCCACAGAATTTATTTCCTATTCTCTTCCAGTTTCATTCTCTCCTTACATTTGTCTTAAAATTAAATTACTCCTTAAGTTAGTATTGCCATTCTATGAATTTTGATGGTTTATGTACATTGTAGAATCACAAGATGCCAGAGAAGAGCAGGGCCATGTTCTGTGGGACCCTCCCTTGTCTTAGAAATGCTTCTAAAGAGAATGACAGGGTCAGGGAGTGAGAAGAATGCAGAATGGGCCCCTTGCTGGGCCCTAAGCCAGATCACTTCCACTGTTAGACATGTTGTATACTGGGTTTTGCTTAAGATTTTGTTTGAAAAGAGAATTCCACTGGAAAAAAAATTGGACACATTGATATATTCCAACCTCCTCTTTTTAAAGTTAAGATAAATGACCGCCCCCCAACTGGTAAGGTACACCTTTAGGCCCTGTCAGCCTCTTAGCAGTAGACTTGCTGCTCCTGCCTGGTGCAAGTCTCTCTCCACATTGCAAGGAATGAGTGCTGGGAGGACGCCCTTCCTGCCGAGGTCCCTGTGTCTGTTGCCCCCTGTCCTGAGCTTTTGTATACCTAGGCCCCTGGAAAGTAGGCTTGTTGGAAATGACCCAGGACACAATGGTAAGGATTTAAGTTTATTGCATTTCTTCCACCTTCCTGTTGTATTCTCGATTTTGTTCTACCAGGCAGGTACCCAGTGCAGAATCCCTATCCCTAATCAAAGCCTGTTCTGTTTGTGATTTCATTGGTTTAGCCCTAGCTGCTCAGTACCTTTAAGACACCCCAGCAGCCCCTCATCAACACCTGAGTCCCCTTTGTGGAATGAAAGGCTTTGTGCCCATGTGGTGTAATGAATGGCCAGGCTACCTGCGTTAAGGAAATGGTGGGGACCCTCTCTGGATCCTAAAATCGCTCCCTTTTGGAGATCGCAGACTCTTCCTGTGCTTTCAATTCCAGGCAGGGTTCTTTCCTCAATGGAATTTGCATGAGATTTCTTTGTAAAGTCCGGCAATTAAAAATCCAATATGTTATCATAGCTAATACGCTGTCTTTCATCTGTTTTGAATTTAATTGCAGACACAGATCTGGACCTAGCATGTTGAACTTGGCCCTGCTCCCACCTCATCCCTCCTTGTGCTGCTCTGTTGTTTTTTTCCTTAGCTCTCATCCACTTCTAGCATGCCACAGAATTTACTTATGTATCATGTATGTGTATTGTTTTTCTCTATCTTCCCCTTTCTGATTGCAAGTGGGACACAGATCTTGCATCCCAACATGTAGAACCAGGCTTGGCACGTGGCTCAGTAGACATCTGTTAGATTAATGATTGAATAAATACCTGTTGGGAATTTAACTGAATAGAAGCAGTGGAGTGGTGGAGATAGACCTGATTGGAACAAGTTGATGGTTTATCGAGAGGTAATAACTGGTTCCAGGCACTTATCTGTGAAAGGAAGGAGCTGGAGGAAGCCCTGCATTGAGAGAGTTGAGGTTTTTTAAGTTTCATTTTTAAGATAAGAGGGGTTGGAATGTCTCTATATGCTGTGAGAAGGAAGCCAATGAAGGGTAAGACCTCATTACCAACATAGGGGAGAACAGGGTGATGGGTAGAGCACTGTCCCTATGGAGGCAGGGGCATAGGGGGAGGGTTATAGGTACAGTTGGGACTCCAGGATTTGATTGCCACTGTAGGCTGTGTTGTGGGGTGACCGAGGATTTGACAGTGGAACGCACTGCTAAGGCTTGCTAAAATGTAGTCTCCCTTACCCTGGCTGATGTGGCTCAATTGGTTGGGCATTGTCCTGTGCACTGAAAGGTTGTTGGTTCAATTGCCAGTCAGGGCACATGTGTGGGTTACAGGTTGAATCCCCAGTAGAGGGCGTGCAGGAGGCAGCCGATCAATGTCTCGCTCTCACATGGATGTTTCTCTCTCTCCCTCTCCCCTCTCCCTTCTTCTCTCTTTAAAAAATATGTTTTTTTAAAAAGATGTTGGTCTTCCCACACTTAGCAAAGGTGATGGTGGTAAGTGAGTATTGTGTGGCTGTCCCCATCCCTGAAGAAGGCGAAGGGCCCTCCATCTCCACCTCAAAGCACAGCCCAGTACACCAAAGCCCCTGGGCCGTCAGCTGAGGAGCCAACCAGTTCCACTCCGCACACTCCTTTGTGAACCAGTTGGAGTAGGCAGCCTCAGGGTCTGCTCTCTGGCTGGCTTGTCTTCTCTACAGCAATTTGGCTTCCCCAGATGGATCAGGGTAGATACCACCCTCACGTGCAATGGCCTCCCTCTTATTGTACACCCGAGCACAACCAGCATCCACGTTGGAGACGGGAAAGGTTTATGCCTCTCCCCATTGACCGTGTCCTTTTGTGAGCTGCAAGCGGACTCCATAGAAGCCTGTTTTCTGCCCATTCTTAAAGCAGAGTTGAGTGCTGTTGATGCCATAAAGACCAAAGCCTGGGTTCAGGGTCTTCAGAGCCACCGTCTACACACTATCCTGTGGTTCTCAAGGTGTGGTCTCTGACCAGCAGCATCGACTTCATCTGGGAACTTGTTACAAATGCAGATTCTCAGGCCCCACCCCAGACCCCCTACATCAGACACTCTGGGTGGGGTCTAGAAACCTGTGTTTTAACAAGCCTTCCAGGGGATTCTGTCACATGGCCAAGCTTAAGTGCTCCTGGGTGTACACCTTGACCATAATCAGCTTCTTAGCAAATACATACTTTTCTCAGAAAGGATCCCAGGTGAGAGTTCACATGTTTCAAGGCCCTCGTCCAGGTGTCCCCATGGCCATTGCGGGCCCACAGGGAGTCCCTTCTCCTCACTCCCAGCCCACACAGCACAGCCCCCACCCCTTAGGTAACAATACCTACTTCCTCCTTAGTTTAGTATGCAGGTGTCTGGACCAAGTGATTGTCGTTCCTGGACAGGGCTCCCTTTTACCTGGAGATCTATCTATGTAAGCTGCTTTGTTTACCAATCATAGTATTTCTCTTTTCATTTTGTGCTATTTTATAATGCTTAGAGCACAAATTGGGGGAATAATAAATACATTTTTAAGAAAGCCATCCCCACAGCTTGAAAAAACTTCGAGCTTTTTGTAATCTTTTACACGCATATATAATTTGAACACAGTGGGCACACATACATTTATATAAATTAGCTAGGAGAAACGATACAGAATCCTATGCTTAAGTGGGAAGATTTCAATATGTGCATACCATACTTTCTTTGGGATTTTTTTTTTCACCAAGAAATAGGTCCATCTGCAATCTTTCTAACTAGTCTCTGACATTTTTCATTACTTTTTGATTCCTCAGTAAGTAGAGTGTCACAAAAATAGGAAGAATAGACAGTGTCACTGAGGCTGAAGGCTGACTTCCGGCTGTCGCTCAGATGAAAGGCAGCTTGCCTGTGACCAAAACAATCGATACAATACCGTGAAGGGGAAGAAAAGCTTCCCAGGACCAAGAAAATAAATGAGGTTAGAAATGGAAAGGTTTCATCTTGTTCTGAGTAACATTAATCAGAAACCTTTAACGAGGCATATTACTGTAACATATCTACATGGGAAGAAAAAAAAATCTCCAAGGACAGAAGAGCAGATAGATCACTTTTAAGTGTAGTAAAATCAGGTGGCTTCCAACTTCCCTGGCATATCAGTCTTCTTTGGGAAGAAAAGGCACTACTTATTCTGAACCCTCATGTAAAAGAGTGACAGGCAAGACTGCTGAACCCTGTCGCACAGCTGTTCCTAATGGAAGACAATAGAAAGGCGCTGTCAGATCCTACAACTATCAGAAAATGTCTTAGCTTGAACAGGACGCTCGAGGACTGAGTAAAAGACAGGATTCATGTGTGTATACATGGATGTTAAAAATATTTGTGAGGCCAAGGACCCACAATGGAGATGGAGATAAGTAAGCATGTGGGTGTGGGATGCACAGGTGTGATAACCTTACCTGGCCCACCCTAGCCTGAGGGCCTTCTCCTGGGTGCAGTTTTTGCCGATGCTCCACAATAGTCTCAGTTAATGCATTCAGACTCCTATCCTGGCAAATTAGGGGAAAAGGAAGTATATATATAATAATTTTTACAGAGTAACAATAATATTCTTAAAAAGCAGATTTTTCCCAACAGGCATGGTTCAGTGGTTGAGTGTCAACCTATAAATCAGGAGGGTCACAGTTCGATACCTGGTCAGGGCACATGCCCTGGTTGCAGGCTTGATCCCCAGTGTGGGGCGTGCAGGAGGCAGTCGATCAATGATTCTCTCTCCCTCTCCCTTCCTCTCTGAAATCAATAATATATATATTTTAAAAGCAGAGTAAGACCTGGGTGCCACAACTGCTAGTTGCATAATTGGATGCCCTGGGCCACACTATTTTTTTTTTTTGAAGAGCTGGGATGCCATTCTTAGGACTCAGGTGGGTTCAAGATGGGCATCCTTGCCACCTTGCCCGGCCCAGTCCACTTGAGCTCAACTCATTGAAGATCTAAAGGGTCACCCACAGGCTGGGGTGCTCAGAGTCTCTACGCCAATCAGGATAGCTTCATCAATAGATTTGGAGAATTGCCTCCTTCAGAGGGATCATTCAGAAAACTCCAGACCCCAAAATGAACTCACACTGATCTCTTCTGTCCCATCTCTTGCTCACCTTGTCTCTTATCTCTGAGAAGCTAGTGGTGTAATTCAGCCTGAAACTGAAGCCCTGGAAATCGGGGGATAGATACAGTCCCAGTCTGAGTCTGAAAGTCCAAGAACCAGG